AGTCTTCCAGCTTCTCACTTTCCCGAGTTAGCAACTTACCCGGAAGAAGCTTTCAAGGGCCCGTACGTAGGTATCACCCTTACCCGCGAGCAGGGTTTGAACTCGTTAATATCTACTTGGACGGAGAACGCTGCCCTAAGATTTCAGCATTCTAGCTTCTCAGATCCCCGAGTTATGAACTTACCCGAGAAAAATTTTGGCGGGCCCACGCGCGGGTACCACGCGGGTAATGGCGCCAATTTTGAGGACTGGAGCTTGCAGCTTTTGCAGGTCTTGAGATGAAAAACCGTGATGGACGCACACACAGACAACCCCTCGTCAATATGCGTTTTCTGCATTGCATAGCTGCATAAAAATATGCACAAGAACTAACATTTATGTATAACTGCTTCAACTGCCGCGTGATGTGACACAGCTCGGTACAACTTTTCACGCACAACGCTCTCTGGAAACCTTCCTGCAAAATTCATAGTACTCAATTTATGCATCTCAGTCACCCAGCCACTATATGTTTCCATAATACGTTTTCTTTTTTCCGCATCACCAAAATATGCCTTCAGCTTGATAAAGAACGCATAAGCCTCAGGCAACATGAGACTTTCTGTAATTTTTGCAGCACCAGTCTCTCCTTTCAGTCGTTCCCTACGAATTCGATGGCAAGTTACCTGCATTACATCTTTCACACGTCTTCTTCCACCATCATCCGCAAGTTGCAATCTCGAAACGGTTGGTCGACGTGACGAACATCCTGCGCGCGCCTTCTCATCCATCATAAGAGATAACTAAAATTGTAGATATATGATGTGTGTATGTGTGTGTGTGTGTGTATGTGTGCGTGTGTGTGATAAGCCAACTGCCCTTTTCTCTCGCAATGTGTGTGTGTGTGTGTGTGTGTGTGTGTGATTAGCCAACTGCCCTTTTCTCACGCAATACAACGGCATGGCTTTAACCGAGAACGAACCGGTAGACAATCTGTTTGCAGGACCACGGCTAATGGGGGCTAACAATTAC